CTCAATAGAAACTATAGAAACAAGTAATTTCTTTAGCTGAACATTGTATGCTAACTTATAATATAGTCCTTGTAAGTTTTTTTAATAGATTAGGAGTGTAAAACAACACTTCAAAAACATCTACGACAAAACACTCTCCGTACACCATTTTAATAGCCTAAATCTTATACAACTAGTAGGCCTATGTGCAATCTGTTTTGTGACAATTGATACAAGAGGACGATTCTTCACAGGAAAAGTTAGTAACCGTAACACATTCACAGTTATGGACTTGGCTCCACAGCTGAAGCTATCAATTTGATGTCAGTTAATTTTAGCCGTGAAATATACATTAATAATATACTGTGTAGGTAGGCCATATATTTAACTCAGCAATGCAGCAAAGGGTGACTTCATAGATATAGTGATTGCATCTTTGACTCAATCTTTGCACGTGAACTTTAAAGACACGTGAAAAAACAGGATGTATCATTTTAAAATAGTTGTTTAATAAATAATTGCCTTTATATTAGCAGTTTATGATGACTGTTGAAAGGTATTATTTTATTTACTGTAACATTTTTTTACAAAGCCATGTTAGGGAAACTTCCATCCTACATCTGCTCCCTGATGTCACGGCGAATTGTAAGTGGCTACTGCCTGAGATCACATGCTGTGGTTTTATTAAATGTGCCAACTGCTAGGACTGTCTTAGGGAAGATAGCATTTAGATGCGCAGCTCCACTGTCTTGGAATAGTCTGCAATTGAAATGGAAACTGAGCAATCTGGTGCCACTAAATGTTTTTAAAGCTTGGTTGGATGCTACTCAATCGGATGCTGTTGGTACCTGTTCATGTGGATAGTTATGTAAATTGTAATCCCTGTAATGATGCTGTATGATGTCCTTTTTGTTGTTCTGTTTATGTTTCATGTGGAACCTACTTGAGCAGGTCTCCCTTGAAAAAGAGATCATTGATCTCAATGGGATATACCTGGATAAATAAAGGTTTGAAATTAAATGAATGCAAAGTCAAATATATAAAACACAGTTGCATTTAAACAGTCAGAGTAGCCCCCAAGAGATGAGGAGAGGCAGGCAGTAAAGAGGAGAATTTATCTCACTGTCCATGTTAGTTTGAATTGTGGTGATTGTTGAGACAAAGAGAGAGAGAGATAGAAATAAAAAGAGAGACCGAGAGAAGCAGTTTCTGTCGCTCCTCCTGATAGACCCAGCCAGGCTATTCATTACTCCCTGTACGCCAGCCGGTGTCAGTTATATTACTGCAAAGCCGTCCCTGACTGACGGCCAAGAGTGGGGGGTGAAAAATGGCTGCAAAATACTGCTCAATGCCCTGGGAGAAAACAAGGGAGCGGCTGTGATGGATGGGTGTGTTTGACCCGGGCGGGGTGGAAGGCAGAGAAGGGTCTCCTCCAGATTAGACAGGAAGTCGGCAGAGCTTGTGCCCCTCTGCCCAGAGCAGCCCAGCCTTGTCAAGATGAGAGGCATCTCGCTAAGCTGCCTCCGTCAGTGCTTCTATCACTTGTGTCAAAACAGACGCTCTCCATATTCAACAGATAAAACTGGAGCTCACGTGATGGGAATACAGAAGCCTAGGCCGTCCACTGAGTTTGTGACAGGCCTGATGTCAAACCCAGGCCAACCTCCCATAGCAGTCTCAAAAACAACATCATGATATATTAGACAGCTTTGGGATGATTTTATGCCCCATGTGGCCTTGCACAGTGAAAAACAAACAATCGGAACAGTTGGTTTTAGGTTCTCAGCTACATGTACTCAGAAGCCTCCATGTCAAGCTGTCGATATCTGGGTTTACATCTACATCACCTCTATTTTGCAATCAAGATCTGTGCGTTTTCGGTTCATTTCTATGCTGGTGCTATGTCAACATGTTTAATTGTCATTAAGACATATTTTTTATGTCAGTGAGGTGTGTGTTCATTGGAAGGAGATGCAATTTGTATTATATTGAGCTCTTTTAAAATATCATTTAATCACTAAGAAATGTGTTTATTGCATTTGATACAATTCTAAAAACTATTGGGATATGCTTCTCCTTACTTAAAAGGTAATTGTATGTTAAATTATTTGGACTCTCTTCAGGACATGTGATGCGGTTTCATTATCTTACCATATGTCAGAATGCAATTAAATACATTTAATACATTGTATAAACAAGGGCATAACTAATGTATGGTCCCTGTTTATTGTTTCTGTGGCTATGGGCCACAATATGTATTCAACTTTGTATCTTTTATTTTACAATCACGTTTGGACTCCCGATGCCTTGTAACCAGTTCTTTTTTTTTTTAAACAGGCTAAAGGTCTTAATTTGACCTTTTCATTACTCAGTTTGACACATGCTGGAGCCCCCCTGCTGCACTGTGTGGTTAATGACATGTTTGCCTCCAGGGAACACTGCAGTTTGCCATATTGCAAATATGCAACAGTGGTTTAAAGGGCCCATGTCATGGCCATTTCCACTGATCATAATTACATTGTTGAGGTATACTAAAATAGATTTATACTGTGCAATTTTCCAAACTCACATTGGTTTCGCATACAGCATCTCTGTCAAGCATGTGTATTCAGCAGTATTCACTTTCTCCACTAAACGACTCGTTGGAGCTCTTGCCCCCCCCCTCCCTGTGAGCCTAGTGTGCTCCGATTGGTCAGCTCGGCCACTCGTTCTGATTAGTCAACCACCAGAGAGGCTGCGCCCATGTCTAACAGTGCTTTTCCCGGCTGCTCTCAGCGTAACATCAGTCTTATCATGGCGTCGGCACAGCCGTATATTTTATATACATATATATTTTTAACTGTTGTTATAGAAGAGTGTGACGGCCCCAGGGCCTTTGTCTTACGATGGGGTGGAGCTGAAGAGGCTAATCAGCACGATCACGGACACCTCCGGACACTACGGCCCCAGTCTCTCTCCAAAGCGGCTGCAGGAAGACTAACTCTGCGATCCTCTCAACCACCTATCTCTGCATTTACCACAATAAATGTGCCGTGGTTTTGTAAACTCGTGTATGTCTCCTTGTCTTTGTGGCCTACGAGCCGCTCATAACAAAGAGTAAGTTATTTTTACCCGTTATAAACTACTACTGTTTGATGAGAAATCAAATCATGGTTTGCTATATATGAATTCAGGGAAGAAAGGATAGGCCTACTAAGTATTTCCATTAAACTTTATTTTTAGAAATGTACAAAATGAACATAAATATACATATATACACGGTATATCATCCATTCCTCCTCCTTGCATCTTGCCTGCGCACAGTCGGTGCGGTGCCTTTTAGCACGACGCCTCAGTAGTAGTAGAAGTGCCTTTTAGCACGTCATGGATTGTCCGCCAGGATCTGGCTGGACGAAATTAAATGCAAATCACAAAATATTAGAGAAACTTAGTTGTTTTAGATTCGTTAGTAGTAGTTGTGTAATGAACAGCTTGCCTGCTAATATGCTAACCTAGCTTTGTTTACCTTGGTAGCTAACACGATATGAACGTTAGCTTGGAGGAAAGGCAACTATAATGCAGTGTAATAAAACTACTATGAACAAAAGCTAGTGGTTCATATTAGGCTAGCAATAACGTGTTTATAATTGCAATCGTATACGGGTATTCTGCTACCATACAATGTAACTTGCATGAATACATTGTTTTGCGCTAGCATACAGCTAGCCTCGTTAGCTACATGCAGTATATGTACGGTCACAATGTACGGTAAATCACAGTACAGAATACTGTATGAATATTCCGTGTGTGTGAATGCAGACATTCTCCTGCTATGAGATACATGTATGCAAGGCCATCTGCTGATATTAGAGTTGATATATGGAAACTCTAGCAACTTAGTTAGCACAGTTAGCACTGTGTCAATGGCTTAGCAGTCCAACACAGTTTACACATTTAAACAGTCTTGTTTGATAAATACACAAATAACAATGCAAACTTACAGGTTGTATACCCAGATCTTCCCCTGCTCCAAACGGTCCAAACAAGCTGTGCATATCCGGCCTCAAACTGGGCAATGTTTTGGAAGCTTTCGTCTGTGAAATGCCGGTTCTTCGAACCTCTGGAGGAGGAACATGCCGCTGCTGGTGTGGCCATAGCTCTTCGGGATTGGTCCATTTCGTTCCGGGTACCGCATGACATCAGGCGGTACCCGGAAGAATCAAATGGGCAGTGACGTATCTCCAACGAGGCGTTTTGGGGAGGTATTTTCTGTGTTAGAGTTTTACTCGCTACAGGGTGTACTTTGAGGGTTTTGACTCTGCACACCGTTTACATGCATAAAAACCTTCATAACACACAAGGGGACGGGTAATAACCGGAAAAGCATGACATGGGAGCTTTAAGATTAAGAGAATAATGTTTTGGTAACACAAGGTGTTCAAAGGGTGTCAGTTAATCTTATTACTAATATTTTTAATTTCAGCATTAATTTAAACAGACGAATAATGTTCAGTTAATTCAGCTGGCTGTACCCAATAAGTACAAAAGTCTGTCAAAGAAAAAAAAGACAAACATTTTTGGGATTCTGGATTCAAATTAATCATTTTATTTGATGATCTTGAATTGAACAGCAACAAAACAAAAACAATAGGAGGGAAACAAATGGGTGTATATGTTTTTAATTTAAAAAGCATGTTATTTAGGCATTATAACTTTAATCCTGATGACTATCTGGTTGGTTCGCTTTGCTTTTTTTGCAAAGTATGTTAAATGTCATACTTGATTTGGTGAAAATCAGGGTTAAGACGTACTTTCTTGTCCAGATCAAAATGTTCCCAAACTAAAGAATTACATCCTGATTCTGTATACATCTCAGACCCATACAACATCAACATCAATCCGGGAAATTCCAACATGAATGCATCCATAAAATAATGGAGAATTGTTGCCATTGTTGCTGTGACAGGATTTAACCACGAGCCAGGATCCTGTTTGACGCGTGACGTACATAATGCTGACGTCACGTGGTTGACGTTTGCGGAAGCAAGTCGTTGCTTTAGCGGCTGGTACCTCAAAATCAAAACAGAGGGGATGTTTTCGTATTAAACCTCGAGAAATCGCAAAATATATTACAGATTTTGCTTTTACTCTGTCCGGTCGACATACCGGTTATCTCTGTTTGCCTGACAGACGACTGAGAAGTATCTAAACATCGACTGAGATGGAGGTAAGTGTTCAGTGTCGAGGAGTTAGCTTTAGCCAGTCTGAAACAACTTAGTAATACCTGTATAGCATCTTAAAATAAGCTTAAAATAGAATGCTCTGCTGTATATAGAGTTGTGCTTTGGACATTGGAACAGGGCTGTAAAGCAATAACATGTTAAGTGACCCGTTTGTCCTGTTTACTAGCGAGCTTCACTTCAAACCTTCTTATTTAAATGTACTCAATATCGACTAAAACGTTACTTGTAAGGACATTAACATACTATACAGTATTACATATATTATATTCTGAAACAACCGGTATATTAAACCTGATGCCTCACCGTTTTTCATAACTTGCCTCCACCATCAAGTACATTGTGTCACTGTTGACACAGGGACATATGAACCATCTTTAAGCCTACATTTAAATACTTTTACTTAGTCTATGTACATGCTGCTGAATAAAATATGAGCTCCCAATGAAACGTATAAGCTGGTAAAACATGCTCTGTCAATTTTACATTTTGCAGACCAACATAGCGACATTATATTTTTGATTTTCAAAGGAAATAATGTAGGCTACTGACTGGGAGACTGGTCTTTTGTCAAGCATGGGGGGGAAAAAGGAATAGCAGAGTTTTTAAATGTTATTGTTACAATCTGCACATATTTAGGTTTGCCTTTTTTTCCTTTCACTGAAACAGGAGCCTAGTGGTACCGGAGGAGAGTCTCCAGCTCCATCACCAGCAGGTGCATCCAAGTCGAAGGTACTGCACATTTAAATTCAGACTATTGATAAAAGGGATGTTAAAATATCTAATATTTGTCGAGATTTGTGTACAGTTAATTAATTGTTTCATATGTATTGGTATAGATTATTCCTTCTTTCTAAATATTTTATTTGCAGCTGGACACACTGCCCAAAGATGACCTTATCAAGTTTGCAAAGAAGCAGGTGGCTCTCATGCAGAAGATGAAGGGCAGATGTGGAGGTAGCTATACATGCTCAAAAAGCTTGTTTCTGTGGACCAACAGTGTACATCTTTGTGATAACATTTCCCCTTTCAGCTTTGGAAAAAGAAGTGGAATCCCTCAAACAGCAATCCAAAAACAAGAATGGCAGTTCAGATGACTCCACTCTGATACAGGTTTGTTTGTAGGGCAGAAATCTATCATGTGTCTGCTTTAAAATAATGATTTGTTAACATGTCCAGTTCATTTTCATACTTGCTCATGCAAATCCTGTGTGTATGGGTAACAGGAGTTGACTGAGAGGATGGATGCCTTACTGCTGGAGAAGGCTGAAACTCAGCAAAGTCTTTCAATTTCTCGTAAAGATCTAGAGAAGACTAAGCTGCAAGCCAAGGTGACTACAGCACAAATACTTAATGATATGAATTCAATGTTTAATGAGCCAGTTTTACTGAATTCTATGCTGTTTCTCTGAAAACTGGGACATTTCAGCATATTTGCATACATTTTAAAGTCCAATCATGTATGCTTATAAGGAAAATATATTGTCATAAAACCCCTATATAACTTATTTTGTGCAGGATGATGTAGCAGTGCTGCAAGGAGAGCTTGACCGTGTGATAGAAGATCACCAAAGAAAGATCACAAACCTGGAAAGCACAATTGAAGAGTCCAACAACAAACACCAAGAAGAGATGTCTTATTTCCAGAAATTGCTTAAAGAGCGAGAAGAAAGTGACAGGGAGAGGGAGAGTGAAAGAGAGAGGGAGCGCCAGGCTGAAAATGCCAGCGCAAAAGAGAGCACTGAAGAGGTCAGCCGTTGCTTAGAAGCACAACTGGAAACACTTCGATCTGAACTGGAAGCAATCCAAGAGCAAAGATCCAAGGAGATCGCTGAGCTGCAGGAGAACCACCAAAAGGAGTTCACGAAGGCCCAGCAGGAGGTGGAGAACCTGAAGGAGGAGCTTACTCAGAAGGGTCTGCAGCACGAGGAGGAGATGAGGGCGCTGGAGGAGGACTGTGAGATCGAGAGGGACCGTCTCCTGCTGCTCCACGAGGAGCTGACCGAGCAGCTCGCTCTCAAAGGTACAACAGAACTCTATTTGACAAAAGAGGTCGGAGTAGGAGCGAGACCTATTGCAGTGAAGTTTACTCACTGTTTCCTAGAGAGATGATGATACTGTGTATGCACACTTTGAATTTATTTTTTAAACCTAAGGGTAACCCAGTTTTGCAGCATAGAGACTTTTTATGTGCAAGCAGAATTGGGGCTGCTACGATCGGGTTATTTTATTATGGAATCTTCTATACTTCTAATACTTTAATATATTTTTGTGTAGTTTTCACCACATTTCACATTTTAAGTATTTTAATTGTATGTGCTCCAGTCTAATGAACAAATTAATAAATGAACAATGAGTGCTTATATTATAATTGTTATTGTCAAATATTTTATCGGTGTGTGTCTATCTCTGTAAATCATTGTTTCATTGGACATTAAAATGGCTTTTCCAGCTAACATGAGCCATATTTTTCCAGACAGCTTCCTGCAGGATGTGCAGGAGGAGGACGAAGAAGCACCCCGCAGTTTAGGGATCGCTAAAATGCTGGAGCTGTCGACCTGCAGTCAGGGTGAGTCCACCCAGAGTGAGGGAGAGGAGACAGAAACCGGGAGAGTGAGAGCACCCATGGAAGACCTGCAAGCCCAGAACACCATGTTACAGGACGAGCTCACCCTGCTCAGTAATGTGAAGGGTGAGCTCGAGGCAGAGCTGGAGAAAACCAAGGAGGAGTTCCAGACGGAGAAAGAAGAGATGGAGTTTAAAATCAATGAATTGCAGATGAACAAGGAAATTCTTCCCAGTGATTTATCCATAACCCTGAACCCTGACCAGCAGGATGCAGAGTTACAGCAACACAGTGAAGCACTCCAAGATGGAAGTGAAGAGTCAGCAATAGCTCCTGAAGACCAACATCTCTTGAATCCAGAGGAGCTGAGGGCCAAATGTGAAGCTTTGACCACCGAGAGAGACTCTGCCGCGACTGAGTGTCAACACATGAGAGAAGTACTGCAAGGTGTGGAGAGAGAACTGGGCGAGAAGACACAGGATTTTGTTCTTCAGTACCAAGCCATGAAAGAGCAGGGGGCCAATACATTACAGGAACTCCAAGACAAGATGGAGCAACTCAGCCAGGAGAGGGATGAACTAAATGTGAAGATGAATCAGATCACAGAGGAGAAAGACACTCTGATGAATAACCTACAAGACCTGCAGCTGAAGCTTGAAGACTCCTCAGGTGAAGACCAGAAACTCCAGTCGTCTGTGGAGGAACAAACTGCTTTAGTTTCTGAGCTGAAGCAATCTGTGGAGGAACTGAGCAGGCAGAACGAGGAGATCCTCTCCCAGCTGCACATGAAGGAAAACATGACCCAAGACCTGAAAGAGATGGTGAACACACTGACTGAAGAGCGGGACAGAATAGCATCCCAGCTTCAGCACAGAGAAGAGGAAATGGAGAAGCTGAACAACAAGAGAGAGACAGAAATCCAGAGGCTGCTGGAGGAAAAGGAGAAGGAGGCGCTTGTGTGCAGAGGGGACAAAGAGCAGGAGTTGAAACTTCTTGAAAAAGAGAAGGAGGATGAAGTGCAACATCTAAAAGAGGAGAGGGAAAGGATGCAGGAGAGCCTGGAAGAGGAGATGGAGAGAAGGCAGGAGACAGCTTCTGCTTTGGAGCTGACAATCAGAGACCGCTCCACAGAGAAGGCTGACCTCCAACAGCAATTGGAAGAGGCCTCTACTGGCCTTTCCAAAGCCCAGGAAACAGGGGAGCTTTTGGCCTCCAAGCTGGCAGACCTGGAGGCTCAGCTGGAGCAAGAAACATCTGAAAAGAATCTCCTAGAAGCTAAGTTAAATACACTGACGGAAGACACAGAACAGGCCCGCGCCACCATCACAGCTCTGGAGGAAACTCACTCTGAAGCGCTCAGAAACTCCACCGAGGAAGTTGAGGGGCTCCGATCACGTGTGGGTGAGCTGGAAAAGGAGAGGGAACTGTTGAGGAGCAGCGTGCAGGAGTGTGAAGGGGCCGTAGGATCAGAGGAGGTGGAGAAGGAGCTCCATGCTCGTATCGCAGACCTGGAACAGGAGAGGAACATGTTGAGAAACAACCTGGAGGAGGTGGTGAAGGACACTGAAGGTCTGCAGAAAGACCTGGAGGACATGAAATCAGTCAATGAGAAGATTCATGAGGAGAACCAGAGACTGCAGACTCGCATCTCTCTGGTGGATCAGGAGAAAGAGGAGGAGAAGGAGGAAGGGGAAATGGAGAGTGAGATGGAGAGTTTGGAAAAGCAGAGAACAGAGCTCAAAGACCAGCTGACGGAGAAGGACTCCCTCATAGCTCAGCTGAGAGGCGAGATCGCAGCGCTGCAGGTGAGGGGAGATCCTGATGCTTTTGGTTGATATTAGTGCACAGGAAATGTAGATGTTGTTGTCCTGATCATGTCGAGCTAAATGTTCTGAATCATTTGTTGTGTTTGATCATACAGATAAAGCTTAAATAAGGTCAGACGTGGTCATTAAGACACATTCATCGAGGCATACCTTTTCTGATAGCCCTATTTGAAAAATGCTCAAATCAAAAAATGTCCCAAATGGAATATAGTTAATTTAGTTAAAAAAACAAGTTAAAAACAAGTTAACAACAACTAACAAGTCATTAAACATTTGTTAAATAACTAGCATTTGCAGCTTTTGCCATCATTTTTACATCGTATATACCTATAAGTAGATGAACTAAAAGATACATTAAATGTTTTTTTCAACTTTAGAAATATTGCAGTTCTTATTTCCTGTTACTCTGACCCAGGTATCTAACTCTGGAGAAACAAACAGATGCACATTTGTAGGGGGGAATGTTTGCCTTATGAACATTTTGATAAAAAACAACGATTACTGACTTTGAATTGGAATGTTTTTCTTATGTTTTGTGCTTTTCACTCCCTTTCTCTCTCAGGATTCTGCCGTCCTGTTGGCTTCCTCTGAGGAAAATGCAGCCAGTGAGACCACAAAGAAAATAGGTAAGGCGACATTGTTATTATTTATACTATATATTTAACTACTAAATATATGGTCCTTAGTTTGCTTTCCCTTTGGAGCAAGTTTGAAATGATAGATGATCATAACTCAGATCTTATAACTACTGCTCCCTCAGCTCTCCTGGTGAAAGAGCACAAGGAGAAGGACGAAAAGATGAACAAAATCAAAGCAGTTGCCATTAAAGCAAAGAAGGAGCTGGAAATCAGTAAGAAAGAGGTAAAGAGAAGCATGCATTTTCTATACTGTTAATGTTGGATTGCTATCCTTTATTACACATGTACATGACATTTGAACATTAGAATGATAATAAATAGGAGTTTACAGTGTTTCCTGATTCAGAGTTTGTAGTGTAAGGAAGCAATATACCAAGGTCAGGAAACTAGCTAAACATTGATATAGATCGTAGACACAGTTGTTTTTGTTCCCTCTGTGCTCTGATTAGTGATTGTACACATTTCCCCCCCCCCAGGTTGCCTCTCTCAAGGAGAAAGTAGAGTCACTGAAAGCAGAGAAGGCGAAAGTGAGCAGCTCTATGAAGGATATCATCCATGGTGCTGAAGGCTACAAGGTATGCGCAACAGAAGAACTACCGGAATATCCTGCTTCAGTAATTTGATCAGTGTCTAAATATGTCCTAATCTTTGACAACAAAAGGCATTATTTAGCCTGGAGCCACTTTCCTTTGCCTCACTGACGGATGAAAATGAAGTTTCGGTGTCCGGCGGTATCAAATGCCACCATGTTTAGACTACTGAAGGGAGCAGCACAATATTAACTTCTCCTAAATCCTGTTTATGTACGCTAAACATTTAATTATTAAAAGGCTGCTGGAAGAATTTTGTCGGCCTACCCAGGACATTAGCATCGCCCTGGTTCCTTCAACATAAAGCCATTTCTTTCCATTGGAGTTTTGATTATAGCGTAATAAAGTCTGTGGCAAAAGCGTTTATGTTTATGATATGATATGATGACTAATGACACATTACATCTTTACAAATAAACACCACTTTAAAGATTGTTTATGTGTAAATGCAATCGCTAACGTTCGGATATCAAGGAACTGCATGATAATGTTCAGTAGTCTAATTTATCATGCGTTTTAATGTCGTAGGACAAATAATGGCAATCTATCAAGGTTATTAGCCTTTTTTTAGGTATCTCACCAAAAACGTATTGACTTTGGGATAAGACAACCTGAAGTGCAAAACATTCAAACTAATCTTTGTTTTAGGACTAATTCCTGCTGCACTCTTCTTCATGCCTTTCTAAAATGCTGCTTATTAGCAAGTGGAAGTCTGCTCACTATGAAACAGACCTCTGCGCATGATGTCACTCCCCAAGGTCCCCATAAGCTCTCCCAGAATGCACTGTGCTTTACGACTGTGTCTCCATTAGAGGAGAAACCAGTCTGTTGTGTCTAATACAGCTGATGTTTGAGATGCATAGTGTTTACCTTCAGTGAACTGTTCAACCGGCTTCCAGTAATAAATGAATTTGTGTGTGTTTGCGTGTAGAACCTGCAGATAGACTACGACAGGCAGACAGAGCAACTGGATAAAGAGAGGGAGAAGGTGGAGGAGGCGGAGAGACAGATTGCTGAGCTGACCAAACGATTCAGCAGTGCTGTCACACAGGTACCACAAACACACACTCAATCACACACTCCCACACATTACCCCCAACAAACACAAAGACTGCCCTCACCCTCCAGTAAATCCCAGCAGCGCCGCTTTCTCCGGCAATACATCTCCAATACTTCTCGCATAACTCAGCCACCGTCTGATTTACAGCGAGTCATTTTAGCCAGCGACACTTTACGCTGCGATGCTTGACAGCGCAGCTCCTGCAAATAGCCCATCAGATATGACTGGGTGAGCTGGGGAGAGATTTTGTTTATATATACTCCTCTCCCCAAGCTCATAACTGCCTCTTTCCAATGAGGGAACAACAAGCAGGTAAATGGAGCGGCGTATAGCTTCCATCTGCTGCGTGTGAGAGCTACACCATTTCTGAGACTTTTCATATTCTTGTGGGTCTCTGGGGGGGGGGCAGGAAGACTGAAAGCTAGTCGGGGATCTAAGAGTACGTCTGAACATCTCTGTTTACCAATCATATTTCAGTGTTTTGCTGACAGATGATGAGAGGTAGCTGCTGCTGCTTGTTCAGTGTACCTTGCAGAGGAAGCCCTCAGGGTCCGCCGCTGTCAGATTTGCATGAATGACTCTGAAATGTGTCCATGCAGTTTTGGCACATTTACCTATGTTTTGCATTTGCAGGTGAAAACCTTGGATCTGAAATAAGTATCTTTGCAGTGGGATTTTTAAAGATTCTAGAATAAAAGCTAAACCTAGCTTAATTTACCACATTAAGATCCTACTGATTATGTGCAATATTCAAAGAAAAAGTACACACAGAATTCAAGTTATTTTTATTGAACATGCTAATGGCACCCTTTACCTAAACCAGAGGAAAGGCAGATATGTATTCACTTTAGGATATAAGAGTCAAAGCTGTGTCTGTATATGTCACCCCTTGTTTCTTTTTACCATTGATAATGAAGTCACATTTTATCTATTGGTAAAGGCAAGTGGACATATAATGCACATTTTCAGGTTCATGTTTACATGCCTTCCTGTTCAAAAAGGTATTTATTTTTCTCATACTGCCTGTGCTGCAGCACCTCTTTTCACCCTCTGTCTGAAACCTGAGCGTAGTCAACCGCTTAGAGATGTCCCGCCCCTTAACCTGGCCTGTTACATACAATGTGTTGGAGCGCTAGCCAATAGAAGCACAAGTATTACATAGTGATGTCATAATGTTACGGAAGTAAACAAAGGAGTCCAATGGAGGCGTTTCAGGCAGGGGGGGGGAGTTTCTTGGCAGACCGTTTACATGCACACAAACCTATATAACACTACAGGAAAGGGAAAACTCCAAAAAGCATAATTAGTTGCCATCTTGAAGGGTTAGTAGTCTAAATTGTGAATGCTTTTACAGATTGAAACGCTGAGCTGTGAGAAGGTGGACCTGCTGGCCAGTCTGGAGACCACGAGGAGCACAGTGAGGCAGCTGGAAGCACAAAACCAGGAGCTGCAGAGACAGTCAGCCGCTCTGGAGAGAGACCTGCTGGCAGAGAGATCGATGAAAGAACAGAAGATCAAGGTAGAAATATGAGAGAAGGATACTCTGTACTCATATGTACTTATCAGAGGTCATGCCAGCCTCTGCTCCCAATTTTGTCTGTAAACGGATCTTATAAAGCAACATTCAGTGAGGGAAACCTTAGACAAAGCTATGACTGTTTTTTTTACTCCACCTGTTCCAATTTTATGAACATTTTGTGAGAAATCACAAAAAAGTATTAATGCTTTGCTGCTTGGGCAAAGTTGGTGAATTGATAAAAGCAAATATGAATTGGACAAATCAATTAACAGTTTCAGCAAATAAATGACGTATAAATGGCATCTGATTGATGTAAAAAGAATAGTTCTGCAATGGAATAATAGTTTTCTGACTGGTTGACATCTCTTATCTTGATGAACTAACCCCTGACAATCACATGGATTGAAACCAGCGTCCATTCACAATTTTCTTATCGGATTTTTCCTATGAAATGTACATTATATACATACTGAAAACCCCTCTGTGTCCTCATGTCTGTGTGTTTTCCTGCTTTTACAGGATTTGTCATCTGCCACAAAGGAGTTAGAAGAGCTGACAGCTCAGCTCCGCAAGCAGCAGCAACAGTCTCAGCAGACTGCCCAGGAGCTGGAGCAGCTACGCAAGGTACACGCACGCACATACACAAATACACACACGCACACGTTTCAGACTGTAGTGTCTCTGAGGGCCTGTCCACTCAGGCGGCTGGACTGGTGATGGCCGGCCTGCAGCTACAGTAGCACCTCTCAGAGAGAAAGAGCAGTTTTAGCCCACAGCACAGGAACTGATGTTTCTTTTCCATTAGTGGAGACCCTCTAAGTACAGCAGAGTACATTCAAGCTGCCAGGAGCTCTGACTTCATGTCCAAAAAACACAGACTTCTTGAGGTCGATACAGATAATAGTCTTTGAGAGTATAGAAAAAACGAATAATGATATATTTGATTTTATTGATTTTAGAGTAGTGATGAAGAAATGTGTAATGTCTTCAAGTTCCGCCTTATTATTAAACTGTAAACTTCCCTGTACAAAGTACTACACAAATATATTCATCTTTAAAATATGAAAGATAAGGGTGTGAGGGAATTGTCATTATTATTCAATGATTCTACATTTTTGTGAGACCTACTTCAGTCCACTAAAGAATAAAAATGAAATGTTTAAGAATATAATTTTTACATATAACAACGGCTTAAAAATGATATTCTCTTTCAATTACATTTTGGACAAAGATAGTCAGTTGTTGAAAGTCAACCTCAACTCTAAACCACATTTTCCTTTCCTGTAAAGGTTTGCAACATGTTCACTGTACTGATTGTTGGCTCTGCCTGTAGGAGGCGCAGCAGAGCTCTCTACTGGACATGGAGATGGCCGACTACGAGCGACTGGTGAAAGAACTCAACGCCAAACTCTTAGATGGAGAGGAGTGTGCCGTGGAGTTAAAGGCCCAGATAAACACACTGAACCAGAAGGAGGACACACTCAAACAGGAAATCCGTACGTATGAGGCTGCAGCCCCTTCACACCCCTTTAAATATAGGCAGGTTGGATATATAATTATGTAGAAAATGCATGAGAATAAGAACAGCGTGATTCCACCAAATTAGTATTTGAAGATTGTTCAGACCTGTACAACCTCAAAGGATTCAAAGGCTTTATTTGTCATATTCACATAGCTACAGTGTAGTTGTTGGCGATGAAAAACTTGAATCTCAGACTTATCCAACAATTCAACATATCATGTATCAAAAGAAAAATACATAAAATAGTTCAACAGACAAAATGGTGCAAGTAAGTGTCAGGAATAAGAACAATATATTAATATAAGATAACAAAATAAACAGAATGAAAAATGAAATACTTGTAGGATAAATACTGTACTATAATAAATAATTTGGAAACCTGTTTGTTATTTGACAATTATACAATAAATATGTATTGTACTGTAACAAATGAGACAAACCACATCAGAGCCATTGTATCAGGTATGGCTGAAACTGACTTGCTCAAATAGGATGTTTAATAAACAATGCATGTTGTATAAATGCAAGCCATAAAACCGCAACATCCCGGGTTTACATCTGACACAACCCCACCCCACCCCCCTGTCTCTCTCATCATTTTCTATACTACCCTCTTTCAAATCAGGGGGAAACACTTCAGGGAAATGATTTGTAATAAAAGACTGAAAATGTACTCTAGGTTATTTATTTTTGACAAAGTGATATATGCTACAGGTCTGATAAGTAAGTGAACAGTTTTAGTTCTCCATTAACTGAGGGTTAACATTTATTCTTCCTGCAAAGCCCTAATGATTTACTGTCTACCATATTACTGCAGGGCCGTCTGTATTCTGCCTGTCTTTTCTGTCACACTCCGTTTCCTGTTGTTTGACACTGTCAAGCTGTGAAATAAAACAAATACTGAAAAAACTGTGTTTATTTCAGTTAAACCATTTTTATGTGTCTGTGTGTGTTCACATGTGCCTGTGTAATTGTGTCTCCAGAGACTTTGAGGTCCCAGCTGGACCAGGGGGAGGAGAAGACCTCCAAGATGAAACAGCTGCTGGTGAAGACCAAGAAGGAGTTGGCCGATGCCAAAATGCAGGTCTGTTTTTGTGTGTGTGTGTGTCCCGCTGTGTTAGTGTGTGCAACACTGCTGCCTGATGAATGTAAATGGTGTTATGCAACCATGTGTGGGCATTATTGAGGGGTAGGCCTTGAAGATATAGGGTGTAGTTAATAATTTGTGCATGTTGCCGAGTTTGGTAATACGAGTGTATGAATTTAAATTTGTTTATGTGTGTGTTCAGGAAAGCTCCCTCATGATGCTGCAGGCCTCTCTGAAGGGAGATCTGGAGGCTAACCAACAGCAGCTAGAAAGCTCCAAGGTAACACAAGCACCAATCAGCACAACTTCTGTCAGCTATCCCTTTTGATCAAATATATAGTTCTACAAATTAATAAGTCACATACTAAAGTGTGTGTGTGTTTGTGCGTTGAGATTGAGGCATGTGAGCTGATGGCCGAGCGCCATCAACTGCAGGAGCAGCTGAGGTCTGCGCTGGAACAGCAGCAGAGAAGCAGCAGCTCCCTGCAGCAACGCATCAACAGCCTGCAGCAGGAGAGGGACATTGCTAAGGTACACACACACACACACACACACACACACACACACACACACACACACACACACACACACGTCCATCCTTAATGTATGCAAAGTTCCTGGAGAGCGATGTAATATAGAGCTATGACTCATTACTATTTTCTTTAATAATCTCTCAGTTATTTCTGATTAAACGTTTTAGTCGTATGCTCAAAGTGACACCTTTGTTATTGCTTATGTGCTATGACCATCAGTTAAAGAACGCCTGTATAAGAAGCTGGTAGCTGTAATGTTTTTGTACTTTTGCTTAGTGCATGAATAAAACAGTCAATTATGAAACTTTGTTTGTTGTCGATTATCAAAGGACTGATCCATTCATTAGTTACTTGTTTTAGCAACAAGCGTGATGTGACTGGACCTTTTTGACTAAAAAGCAAGAAGTTTAAGATAATTCTTTAAAACACCCTAACATGAACTCTCTGTTAAAGTGCAAATGTTTAACCAACCAAAAACCAGCGAGCAAACTGATCATATTGTTTGTCTGTGTCACATATTTCCATGGATTTTGTATCGGTACGTAACAGTCTTCCATCTTTTTAGAGACCGACATTTTTATATCATATGCATCTGCTCAAGCATGAGGTAGATACAATATTTTCATATTAAAATGTAGAATTGAATTAACATTTCTGAAATAGTTTCCTAATGGTGTTATCCCAGAGAGAGACATTCTGCAGTACAGTGAGTGCACCATTGCACTGAAATAAAGTAGTTATGTAAAGGGTTATGATTCATTATATGACGCACTTTTTGAACATAATTGGTGAACTAATTAAAATAGCTACAGGTCTTTAAACAGTTGGCCAAAGTCAAGTTACAGTTGTTTTTCTAAACCAGTGAAAATTATATCCTAAAAATAAAAGGTAAAATTAAGTAAAATAAAGACCATCAAAATGATGTAATCCTCCAGTATTTCTCTTCAATTGTCAAACAGAAGGGCAACTACAAACTGGTTCATCTGTCACAGCATTTCAAATGTACGCTGTGTTATTCACTTTAAATGTCTTCTTCATCTTGGGGCTGATTCCAGGCTGAGCTGATGTCAACGACAAATGAGTTTGAGGGTTACAAGGTGCGAGTCCACAATGTGCTCAAACAGCAGAAGAGTAAAACCACGGCCCAGAGTGAAGGAGACTCCGAGAGGTAAGGACAACACCTGTGTGACCAATTTCCATGACAAAGGAAGATGCAGGGAGGCAATCAGAAAGATGGGTGGTGATTTGCATGCTGTCAATCAAAACAAATCCATAGAAAGACGCACACAGGAAATGACCTGAATGCTAATGCGTTAATAGCTACACCATCAAAAATATTAAAACTATACAAAGAATATCTACATGTTTTTAACCCGTGATGAGTATTGTATTATGTAACACAGGCAGAGGCTTTTTGTTAAATCGCATGAGAAATAATGTAAACGTTACTAAGGCAGTGTGGAGGGGATTTATTTATCAAATGTGGATAAAGAATCAAACCATTGAGCTGTCTTTGAGGTATTTTATTTCTTGCAAGAAAGTTCAGTCAGTCATACATGGCACAAGCAAACTGTTTGCAGAGTGAAAGATGAAGAATAGAGTTTGGGTTGCATATTTAAACACAGAGAGAGGAGTAAGGGAGGGGTAAAGCTGGGTGATAATGAAAGGAGCATTCTGGAAGTTTAGGGAGTTAGGGAGGCCATATCAGGATGTTCTCAGTTCAAAAGAAGTTGAAGATAATTCCATTGGTGCACATGGAGTGTAACTAACAACATTGCAACAAATCTTCTTAATAAGTACTTTCCCCAATTTAGCAAAGAAGTGAAAGCCAGTAAATAAAGATAAAGATTAGCAAATAAGAATCACACAATTATATTATTAAAGTAACTAAGTGAGTATAATCTTTTTCTGTTACAGGCAGCTACTCAAATGACCTTATTAGACCAATGTAGCAGAATGTGTCCGTTAACACACACAAAGAGTGATATGAATATACTGAATATGTGGTTATGTGTCTGGCAGGACGCAGTTGTCCTCTGAGGTGGAACAGCTGAGGTCCAGGCTGGCAGAGACTCAGCAGAGCCTTCAGAGCAGCACGGCAGAGCTGCAGCAGCTCCAGAGTGAGCACGACACTCTGCTGGAGAGACACAACAGGATCTTCCAGGAGACCGTCAGCAAGGAAGCCGAGCTCCGCGAGAGGTGAGCTGGATTGGTCAAATTTGATTCGTCTCTAGTTGTTAATTTACCCTTGCTTGTCTTGATTTTGCCAAAGTACCATCTTGATTGATTGTAACTTCTCTCACACTCCCTATAAGCATTCTGACAGCAAAGAGTTTGGGTTTTTTCAAAATCTTTTTATTTCTTTTTTTGCAGACATGGCACTTTCAGCGTATTAAACAAAGTACAGAACAATTTGTCAGTTAAAGGAAAGAAAAAATACCCATCCCCGATCCCCTAGCCCTACCCCTACCCCTACCCCATTAGGTCATGGTCACAGTAAATAGGAAACAATGAAACAAAAATATAATAATAAAAGTAAAAATAAAAATAATCAAATTAATAACTCGCATCACAAAGTCACAAATAGCAGGAATACAGCAAATTCACATTGAGTAAAATAAAAAATAATGAAGACACAGGACAGGAGAACAATAAAGGATACACAGAGTATTGGTCGCAAGAGTTTTTTTTGTCATGACATTCCTACTGATTCTTATGAAAGCCCTTAGAGGCAAGGAGGCAAAATCAATTTCTATATCTGATCTAAATTGTTTTTCTATGATAATAACCTAAATCAGTTTATGTTTAGGTTATCACATACAAGTCATAAACACAGGAGGCAAAACAATTTTAGACCAGACTGAATGAAAAGTCTCTAAATCATACTTTTAATCACCTCTTTCTCTGTCTCCCCCTCCAGGCTGCTGCTGTTGCAGGCGGAGAACATGGCTCTGAGGACAGACCTGACCCAGGCTCAGGCTGACCTGTCCTCACAGGTGGAGGCCCAGAGGCAGACCTACAGGGAGCAGCTGAGGAAGCTGCAGGACGACCACCGAGCCACCGTGGAGACCCTGCAGGGCCAGCTGACCCGCGTCGAGGAGCAGCTCTACAACCTGCAGAGCCAGAACAGTAAGTATGACGGCAAGTTCAAAACATGATCAGTTTAAAATAATCAGGCAATAACTACCTGATTCTATTTAAAAAGTGGCAGTGGATACGACAACAATCCAAAAAGTGTCTTCTGCTAACATGAATTGAATCGTATAAAGATTGTCTAGGTTTTCTGTCTTGTTTTCTCTGCTACTCTATAAGAGAAATTATAAAAGAGAGAATACAGGAAGGGGCATGTTGGTGTGTTTATCAGTTGAGGAGCCCTGGAAGCTCATTCATCACCTCCCACACAGCTGCCCCCTGGAGTCAAACAGCAAAAACACACGGTGATGACTCGGAAAGGAAAGCGTGTGTGTGTGTGTGTTTCTTCTTCTGTCACTCAGCCTGGCCAGGTGTTGGCGAGGCTCCTCAGCTCCGTCCCCGCCTCTCAGTGTGGCACACGGCTCACTGTGGCATCTGGAGAGACTCATCATTAGCGGCTCACACATGCAGGCCAGGATTAACTCGATATACGAGGCCAATCTTAGCATTTACTGAAAGTCATATTTCAGGCTTTTTACAGCTGTATTTGGATTTAATGGTAGTTAAAAAGCAGAAGGGTGTTCCAACATCAGTGTGTGTCCCTGGCCGTAGTGGACAGGTGGGTCGTAAAACTGCCGGCCCCTGGACAATTTTTACTGGCCTCATATTTTATTTTATGAATCAACTGTGACAAAACTGTGAAATTGATCGATGTTCAATATAATGTCTTGTCCCATTTGCTTTCTAATCTAAACAGTACATAAACACACAAATTAATTACAGAAACAGGCTTTTTTACAATTTAGAATTGGGTAAAAGCAGCTGCTTTTTTTTTTTAAAGAGTGGTCCAGGAATTTTATTCCAGTAGGAATTGGTGCCCCCAACCCCCATTCCATATCTTTCTTTAACCAGATGCAACTTCATTCTCTTGAATCTGTCCTCCAGAGTGTTGTGTCAAGGGTCAGGGAAAGTACAGTAAAACAAAAAGCAACATTATGCAGACGCAGCATTATAGACTCAAGATATTTGTGTTACTGTTTCTGCTCTTGGCACTGTGAGCTCTCAAGTTTACTGTTCCATCTCAGCTTTGTACTGGCCTCGAGCCCGGGAAACCATCAACCTGATTGTACGTTTCTCTGAATCCAGACAACACATCAAAATCTGGTCTAAACTCAGATGCATTTAATCTGATAAATGCATGTAGCGAAACACCAGTGTCTTGCTCTTCTCACTCAGCCGCACGTGCAGAGAGGTGGGAAGGTGAGGAGATTGGTTTAGTGTCTGTCTGCTCTTTTGGTTCAGTGTCAGGTGCATTAATCATAATCTTCTCTTTTGTCCGCCCACTCTTTCAAAGCACTTCACCCTTCCCTCTCGCCTTCTCTTCACACTTGTTGTCATTGTTCATGCCAGCTTAACTGGTTAACAGCAGAGTGTGTCTGGTGCCCCCTCATGTCACAAAGAAGTAGGACACTGATTAACAATTTTGAGTAACTGCAAATGAATAGGGATTCTGCTCAGTGTGGGGATGGACCGATCATATTGCTTTAAACATCCCAAAAATATATACACTAGCCTTTACTCTAAATATGTCTTGGTATATTTAAAGCCCTTATTTATTTACAGTTAATACTGCCACTACCTTGAACACTTGTATAATGTATATAGTATCAATTGTGTATATTATGTTAGGAGTGGGTTGTACATTTCTGTTGTTCAAGCACATTTTCGCTGTTTAGTATGCTTCTATTCATTTGAAAAACAATTAATAACAAAACTTGTTCTTCTACCAACGCTTAAACTCAGATTCAGTGGTTGTGCAGTCCAGCCGTAAGTCCCTGATGTCGGACTCCCGCAGAAACACAGATCCCAACCAGGCGGGGCTGGGACTGATGACCCTCAGCGACCTGCAGTCTATGGCCAGGGAGGAGGGCGAGGGAATGGAGACCACAGAGACCGAGAACTCTTCTCCTGCCCGTACGCCCCTGCCCTCTCTGGAGCAGCTTCTCACCTCCCCCAACCCCAAACAAGGTGTGTTTGAAACAGGAAGTGCTCCTTTTAACACTCATCAGATGATAAAAGCAAAGTTGTTTATTACAGTTTGAACTACGTTTACTATAATTGAGTATTCATATTCCCTGCTACTTTATAATTCTTCTCCAGTAAAATCCAGAAGCAAATATTGTACTTTTTACGGCTACAAGTATTTTATAACTTGAGTTACTTTGGAGATTCAGAAACAATAACACACAATATAAGCAATGCTTTTTCAAACAGTGAGCTTTAACAAGTGGGTTTTTTGGTCTTCCCTTTAGAGCCATTCTTGTGGACCGTGGAGCCGACCAAAGAAGAGCTCAGTCAGAAGCTGAGCACGGCCACGCGGAGTATGGAGCATATGAACGGCCTCCTGCATGAAACGGAGGCCACCAATGCTGTTCTCATGGAGCAGATCACCGTATGTATACGCACACAAGTTCACACATTAAGAAAACACAAGAAACGATTGTCAGTTTGATTTCAAGCTAATTCAAATTGTTTTAGTTATATAATTAGATTTCAAATAAGTAGTTGTTTATTCTTAGTAGGGCTGTCACTATCAGATTTTCTCTTCTCCTGGCCAAAATAATTCACAATAATGATATAGCTGGGATATCTATTTGGATTTAAAAAATAATAATAATAAATAATAAGGCTTGTCAAATTCAGCTTTCTTGTTTTTGGCAAATAAATGACACTCAAAATAGGAGTGTAAGGAGGAGGAGAACGAGTCTGTAACCATAGCGTGGGTAGGGAAGGGGAGAAAAAGAAACAGAAGACAAACAAATGGTTTGAGACGCTGGGTTATTTGCATTATTATCATTTGTATTATTATTTTGATATCAATTTCATTTTTATGAATATCTCGGTCATCGTCAATACCAGTATATCGCAACACCGCTCATCGTAAATGATTCCAAATAGAAAAAAACGTTCAATTATATCTCAAATTTAACATCCTTCTTTAAATGATCCTCAATATCCAAATAACACATTTTATCTCATAGATATGATTTAATTGACAAAAGACAATCAAACAGAAACTGACATTTGTTTGGCAGCTATGTTAAATCACATCCGTGGCGTTAGGTGTCCAACAAAGTTTTGCTTTGCTTAAATTGACCGGTAGGCCCCAACAGTGACATCAAACAGCCTAGCATTGGTTATGGTCCCCTCATTGTCCAGAAGGAAGTAGAACTTGTGTCCTTTGACCCTGAGCGGGATGGATGAGGGGGACTCCTGCCTGTGAGCATAGCAGGCTACCTGGGACAGTGGGACTGTTATTGTTTGGCCTTGGCCTGGTCCCAGAGGGGACTGTGTGCAGACTGTCACCATCTTCCCCCCTTGGTGCAACACCACTTTGCTGACGGAGCGCCTGCAGAACAGCGCCCCGAGCCCGACAATCCATGCTCCTATTGCCACGCAGCCCACCGTGAAGCCGTACCTCCAGGTTTTGGAGCCCAGGTTCATCTCGAAGCTCCACATCCCGGCCAGTCCCGTGGTGCTGGGCTGCTTGACTTTCCCCTTACCCCCTGTGTCTCTGAGCCCGGTGAAAGCGAAGTAGCCCATGTACGTCCAGAAAAGTAACTGGGCGCCGCAGAAGGTCGAGAGGAGCCGGAAGAAGCGGGTCCTGTCGTGCTGGAACAGGGTGACATCTTTTGAGGGCTGGGCGGAGGAAGAGAGGCGGACAACCGGCTGTGTGTGAGCGGAGGCACCGCGGAGGCTTGTGGGGACGATAATCCTCCACAGACCTGCTGCACATGTAACCCGGTTAACCATGGTGGCCTTGCTCGATGTAGTCTGTGTGGACATCGACGCATTTTGAAAGACTTTTTGCTGAATATTAACGAGACGAAACTGTTTGGAGTAACACTGCAGTGCCCCGCTAAGCAGCCGCTCTAATCCCATTTTTCACGACGTTAAACAAATGTATTCCTCCAACACCTGTTAAAACTAAAGTATCTTATAATATCAACTTAGTAATCGTTGTTGTAACGTTTAACGCTTCTCTCCCAACACTCTTGACAGCCGCAGCTCAGAGGGCGCCGCCATATTTGTTATGCGTGACGTCATTTTTTTTAAACCAACTTTATTGAGACAAATACACAACCGGTTTACAACAGTTGAAGTGTACAATTTGAGTCTACAACGTTCTTATTATACATCCATGGTCTACAAGCAGCAGATGGAAGACATTTTTTATCAATAAATATCTAATAAAAAAACATAAATATCTTATTTGAGCATACAGTGGTTGCCTATTGAAAGAAAATAGTATTATTAATTAACAATGCTGATGTGTTCTACCTATTAGTTGTTGAAGAGTGAAGTGCGTCGTCTTGAGCGAAACCACGAGAGAGAGAAGAGTGTGGCCAACCTGGAGTATCTGAAAAACGTCCTGCTGCAGTTCATCTTCCTGCAGTCTGGCAGCGAGAGGCAGGCGTTGCTCCCTGTCATCCACACTATGCTACAGCTCAGTCCAGAGGAGAAAAGCAAACTGGCTGCCATTGCACAAGGTATGTACCAAGAGACCAGGTGAACACCAACTGAAATTCCAAATAATATATCTCTTAATCATGATTTTACTATCAATTATTTCTCCCTAAAATCTGACCGGTCGCTCTTTGCTGTCCTTTGTGCAGGTGAGGAAGAGGGGTCTGGGTCTCGAGGCTCAGGATGGAGCTCCTATCTACACAGCTGGTCTGGGATCAGATAGAATTGATGATCAACCAACTCAAAAAAGTAAACAATAGGAGCATATTAAGATTGTTATTGCGCCTTTTTCTGTGAAAATGTGTGTTAAGATGTGATTCTGTTTATTCAAGTCACAAAGTGGTTGGTTAGGGCATTTTACAAAATATGAGTGTACGATAGAAGGGACCAAGAAATGTATCAGAAAAAGGATGAGGAACTGAGTGTAAAAGATTCAACAAAACCTTTTTACATAAATATTGATTTTAATTTGCGGTTTGGTAGTTACTTTAATCTCTTAATCTCTTGCAAATCAAGTGAACTGTGAACTATTTCCGTCTTCCTTACTCTAACTATTGAAAAATATATGTATACGATATTTACTGGACTTAAAGGTTCCTTGAAGTAGAGCTCATAGTGCATTGAGACATCATTAGCACTTTGAAAAACATTGTATACCCCTAGACAATGTGCACATATTATGGGAGAATAATTAATTGAAGGGAAAACTGAGTGGGGTATGGCATGATACAACTTGAACATCACTTTTAGACTTATATTGGGCATGCTCTGTGTAGCAGTGCACTTAATGGGCTATGCTTGCTCTTTTGGTTCATATCAAACACGCTTCACATTTCTTTTAAAGAAAGTTTAAGAGCATTTTACTACCTGAAAAAGCAGCCATGTTTTTCATTTTTGAAATATGTAAATTCACATGAAACTCGCTCTTTTTTTATTAATTGTGGCCTGGATGGTAGAAAAAAGACATCAAGAAAGCTTACATTCTTTAAAAAACAACAAGCAGTAAGTGTTTTTGTTGAATGTATGGGTTAAAACATGCTAAACCATAAATGTTTATCATAATTTCACGTAAAGTACGAAGGTGTGCATGTGTCTACAGTTTGACCGCATATTTATTCTTTTTTTTTTCACTGTTTTTGCATTTGTTAACTAATGCCTCATTCTGAGATTTGGAGCGGTTCTTATTTTCATTCCTTGAGTTTTGATTCATCATATCCTGTAGTGATGTTTGGGATTTTTGTTCTGGTTACTGTGTAATTTGTCGTTACTGCTTGTTGTGGCTGATGTTATTATTTAATGCCAAATTATGATTTCAATGGTTTCTATGTCTATTTTGGGAATACTTTTGGTTTTGTCGGATGTTGCGCTGTTGTTTAATCACTGAACAGGAAAGATTTGTTGCAACTTCATCTGCTCGACTGTCTTGTTGAAGGACGGGACATTAGGCACGTCCTCCCTGCTAAAGTGCCCTTGAGAAAGACTACCTATCAGACCCATGGGTGCTGCTCTTTACAGTGTCTGACCATGACCTCTGACCTCCCTGTGAAGGTGGGAGAAGAGACAACTCTGCATAGAAAGCACATCCACCCCCTCTTACTTTACATTCATTCCATTTTGCTCATGCACAAACAAAATTAAGTTAATTTCCCGGTTTCTTTTTTCATTCCAGTGGCAGCTTTGTTTGTGATTGCATCAGCATAAGTGAATGTATTTGTATCAAAGGCTTTTATATTTATGATGGTTAATGTCAACAGAAGCTATGAGAGATTACCGTAACCATAACATTGAATCTGTAAGCAGTAACAGTATGTTAACTACTTCACTGTACAACTTATTTCAGAGACAGCTCTTGTTTATCTTTCCTGTTATTTCTGACTGTAAACTAAAATAAAGTTAATGGAGAAGAAAATATTTCCGATTACTTTTATTTTAAAGCATTTTGCAACTTTGAATCTAGCTGCCAGATTTGTATTTGTTTGTTGGTTTGTTTTTCAAAAATCACAGTCACACCTTTATTTCAGAATTATACTGTTGCCAAGCACCTTAAGCATTCATTTTACAGATATTTAACTAGTGAATCAGGATGAAAACATCAACATAAAAGAACACCAAACTGCTTATATTGTTGACATCCTGATTTCAGATTTGGAAAACCTTGATTTTATGGCTGGACAGGGAGATTTTCCCCTTCTCTTCGCCTAGGAAGTCTTCTTCCTTATTGAAGGAGGCAAGGGGGAGTAGGGGCTTTCCTTTTAAGGAAATAAATGTGGTTTCTAGTGTCATGACGCAGTGAGGGGAGGAATCAACAATTACAAGCTACTGTACGCCACTGGGAGTAAAGGTAAACATGATATTATCTGCTCCTAGCCTACAGTGGAGCAGCACTAATAACCTCAAAGGTTTAATCCTATTTATTATAATGTTTCATTTATATCCTCTTACTTTGCAGATACTTGCAGAGTAGTGGTCTAATAGCCTATAAATGCTCTTTTCACTACACCCACTCGCCATGTTGAAGTTTTATAGTTTCCGGTGGTCAGAAAATGAAAAGTCAGACTTTCCATACATTCTGACCTGATGCATCATTTGTAAATAAAGAACACTACGTGGTAGGCTAAGGCAGCAGCCTGCACCGATAACATATATGTATACGTTTCATACGTTCAACTTGTTACGAATACACCCAGCGCTGATTTTGCAGGGCGGGTGTTGTCGTTTTCTGGCTGAAAACTGAATTAGTATTTCTCCAGCTGTGGAAGCTCGCTCGCAGACTGAATGACAAGCTGCCACAGAAAAACAGTCAACAAGTGTGGTATCCTTCAAAATAAAAGCACGGATGTTTGCAATTGATGAGTGTGTGTTTGTCTTCTTGGGTTACAAGACAGGTTACAAGTCCAGTCCATAGAGTGTGAACCTGCTGCTCCCTGAATATTTATTATTTCCCCCCGCCATTTTAGCCCTTAGCCATTTATCACATCCTAAAAACATTATCAGGGACTTGCCTATGTCCTACTGTGACAAGCCTATTTGTAGAAGCTTTCATATAGTTCAAAAGAGAGTAGCAAAATTGGCTTTTGTAGAAACTTCAGAATCAGAAACATGTTTATTGCCAAGTAGGTTTACGCATACGAGGAATTTGCCTTGGCGTATGTGGTGCATACGTAAACACTGTCAAAGAAGATACATTGTAAGAAAAGGACCAAACAAAAACGATTTTAACATAAAACAATAGAGCAATCAGATTAAGATTTTGAGAACATGTGCTCATGTCACAGATAGCTGAACAGATATTAAACCAAAACCAGCATTATTACATGTCATTATCTAACCACATTTCTTATTGATTCAAAATGTTATTTTCATATTTTATAGTCGTCATACTTATTTATTATTTGTTTTTATTGTAATCATGCTGTATAAAGTAGTTTGTAATCACTGATTTACAACACGTCTTAATGAAACTTATAGTATAATACTTATAATGTGTCATGTGTTAGTATTTTATTTTAATTTAGTTCGTTGTTTATTTTGACAAAAAATATAAAGCTGGACTCAGTTGAAAGACATTTTCATGAATTATAAGAATGGTTTTACTTTGAAAGTCAGAACCGGAAGTGCAGTATTCTGTTGAGTCAGAATTGACGGTTTGTGAACAGAGGCGAGGCCCGTCTTCGCCATTCTGCTCTCTGAGAGGAAACCAATACTACATCCCAGACTTTAAACATCTGTACATCTGCAACTGGAGGCGGAAAACCCCAGCCTGGACCGGGAGAGAGCGGAGTCATGCTCGGCATCACTGAAATGACGAACGGGTAAGTGAGAAGTTTTACAAGTGTTTCCCTAAAAGAGACTTTTGCCCGAAAACTTGGGAAGTTGACAGTTTCTCGATGGATGAAAAAAGACGCAGCCCCGGTTTGTTCCATTCTCTCATGGGTCAGGCAAACTGTTGGATAAAACATTTTAGAAAAACTGTCTTTTATCCCGGAAAGTTGTTGTTACATTAGCTACACACTAACTCTTTGGAGCTAGCTAATGTAGCTCAGTTACTTATAATGTTGTAAAGCTACAATCTCAGCCTCAGTTAAAGTGCTCGCTAGCGCCTTCTACCGTCTTCATGATGAAAGCTTTTAGTTGGGAAAAACTGTATTTTAAGTGATCAAAAATGTTCTATAAATGATATATCCGTGTTGTGTATCAGATCTATACAGAAGTGAAAAGTATCTAACGGTCTCGTGGACCTATTAGCCATTTAAAATGACAGATGTGATATTGAGGTTGGTTTGAAAGCATCTTTCTGTTGAGAAAGTCATCTGTATCCCATTGGGCTGTTTTGATATTTTCATCATGCTATGAAACATATTTCCAAAAATACAGCAATCATGTTCTACAAGTAGGATGCCACAGAAGCAACAGGGATTACATTTCTATACTACTGTGATGATTTAACACATCACATAATTATTGTAAAACTATTTTTATCTTGATGATCAGAATGAATTCCCTTCCTTACTTTTACATTGTACGTTGGTACTGGTGTTTTTATTTCAGATTGTTAACAAATGCACATGTATTTCAATATTATATCTCGCTATTGTATTGCAATTATCAGATGTCTGTGTTAGACTTAAGAAACAAATCTCCTTATTTGTTGAGTTTCTTTTTCAATTTCCATGCTTCTGCCCACCAAAATAAATCCTAGCTTGAGCAGATTTCCCATTAGCCACACATCTAGCTTAAAACAAATAATCACAGTGACAGTTTTGGGAGAATCTCCAATTGCATATTATATAAGCAAAAGTTGTAATAATTAAATGCCTAAACCGCTCTCACACTTTAGACAGGAGTGATACACTCACAATAATGCAGCCAAAATACAAATGTAAAGGAAGAAGGAGGAAGATCCTCTATTTTCTACAAATCATTCTACTCCCTGCACAGGAATGTCCACAGAACCTCACTGGACACTAGTTATTGCTTTCTGAACCCCTTCTGACCATCCGTTCCCGGGGGACTGCTTTAAAGAGCCGTATTATTTTCCACCAGTGTGAATGCTACTGTGTGCACCGCTGAGTTAATTATGGCCCGGGATGAATCTGGCTTTTATAAAGCTCTCTGGACACTAAAAGCTGTCAGAGGGCAAGTCTTTTAAAGGCCTGAGGATTGCTGCTGCTGCTTCTGCATTCCCAACGTATTACATTTTCATCTGATTCTACACTGTGTTGATACAACCAGAGCTTAGAAGAATGTCCCGGGCTCCTCCAGTGTGGACTTGTCCTTGTTTGGAAGAGCGGTGCACTTGTGTGATTTATGATTTGGACTGTGTGTGTGTATGAACTTGATGCATGTGGTGTGTGAAGAAGTGTTTATTGAAACCTACACTGTAGCTCATTTCTACTACACTGAATAACTGACTCTGCTCTGGACGCACATTTAAGGCCTACCACTAAACTGTCTTTACATTGAAATGGATTCATTGTGAGGCAGACTCACTAGCTAGACTTACTATGATATTCTAAAGGGTTCTTTGCTATATGAAACAATCAGAAACTGTTGTAATTGAGATATTTATCATAGTAAAGTCTGCTATGATAACGGCCTGGCTGAGGCAGAAGGAAGTGTGGAACAAGAGGCAATGGTTGCAGCAGTTCCTCCTGCATGGTGTGTGTGTAAAGAGAACTTAAAATTGTTATGTCATGCTATTTCTATTCCTACTTCTAAACATTTCTGCTATACTCCCGGATGAATCACTGGAAACAATGAGTTGCTTGTGTTAAAGGGGACCTATCATGCAAAATGCACTTTTGTACGTCTTTTATACATGAATATGTGTCCCCGGTGTTCCAGGGAACTCACCAAGTGTCAGAAAACACAACCCTCTCTATTTTCCTCCATACCCAAATCTCTAAAAAAGGGGCTGCAACGGATCTGATCAAAACTGATCCAGATTTGAACACTGTCCTGACGTCAGGACAGTGGCGCTACGGCTATTGGGCCAACTCCACCAATCAGGAGGAGACAGCTACGGCCATTGCCGTTCGAAAGCGCTGGAGACGCTGTAGTACATATGCCAGGCCTGTAGATGGTGCTGTTCTCACTGATTCAGCCCTTGCAAAAACAGGGCAAATTGAGCGAAATCAGGCATGGCTAAAATGCATGATCTGTTTGGTATTTTGAAGAAAAAAAAAAGTATAAATATGCCTTATATAGGTATGGTCCTACACTATATTATTATAATATAGCATGATAGGTCCACTTTAAGGCAGCGTGTCATTCAGCGATCTGCACAAGTCATCCTTCTAGTTAACAGTGACAAGTTATAAAAACATGTTAGTATACCAGAATCTTTGGGAAAACACAGAATCTTTTTTATATACTGACACTAGGAAAATTCAAAGATGTCATATTGGACTTTAAGAATCGGCAATATTTTTAAACCTTTTTTGTGATATTTTATCAATCAAACAGTTAGTCTAAATCAGTAAATCAAAAAATGTATTGGCGGATAAGTCAACATATGTATTTGCAGTCTGACTATATTCCTATTAAAATGTAGTTACAATTTTTTCTTGCATAATATCCTTATTCTGTAATCTACAGTATGTTCCTACTAATACATTGTACATTTAAGTGTAAACGTGTGGTATTTAGTTTAGGGGTTTTGAACGTTTTCTTTATTCCTATTTACCTAATTTTCTTTAGTTTGACAGCCAATATCAACAAAGTTCCTTTAACTCTATTACTTTATTATGTTGTTGTCATGTTAACAGCCCAAAATAGTTGCGAAACAGTCAGTGAAGACAGAGCTTGGTTTCATATTTCAAGGCACACCCGTGATTATAATGGATCATCCTCACTCCCAGTGGGTATAATGTGCCAGTGGCAGTCAGTGTGTGTGGTAATTGTAGTTTAAC